AAATATAATAAATAGCCTACGTCCTTTTGACAGACAGGTCTACTTAAAATTATTATTTTATGAACTATAAAGCCATCGAAAATCTAGGTTAGTTAAAAAAAAAAAAACTACTTTTAATAAAATTCATTGTATTATGTCTTTCCAAAATGCCTTTCTTCGTTAGGCTATTAAAATAAAACCATAAAGAGTGAAAAACATGCAGTTGGTATAACACCGGACGATGTGCAGACAACAAATTGTATTAGACAAACTTTAGTGACACCGGTTTACCGCTGTATTTCCTTTTCTGTCAGCGAAACAAGAATTTATAGACCTTAATTCGTGTTTTCTGGCGTTAAAATCTCCACATTAGTCTCTTTACACTTATTCATGAATTCATAGAGCGCATAGGCTTGCGGACTGGCGCCTGATCTTCACCCCAACTGGAGCCTCATCCAGGCGGCTTGTGTGTCTTGGAATAGTTCCTAAAGCAAACAACAGGTTAGGATTGCTGCCGTCGATTATTAAAGTGTCCCCGGGACAATAGAGACTCAATGTTCCATTCGACACGCCTGAAGAACTCTTTGGAAAAAGGGCACAAAATGTGTCTCGATGGGGGCTTCCATTGCAATCGAGTCTGCGTGCTGCTTTCTTCATTCCTGTCTCCCGGGAAACAACGATATCGCGTGCTTGATAAAAGTATATTAGAGTTCCTCAAGCAAGTCTAATAATAATAATAATAATAATAATAATAATAATAATTATTATTATTATTATTATTATTACTAATGTCTAAGCCATTCCATTAATAGAAAATGTGTAATATATGCATTTGCCATCTTTGTTACAAAAGTCCTTTCTCATAGAAAAAAAAAATATTTATATTATGCCCACTTTATGAGATTACATGAATGGATTATAGACTGTATATCTACAAGCATTTATTGTGACTGACAGTTTTCCTTTATACACGCTACCTAAAATAAAATCACAGATTCTGCAAATAGTGGAACAGGTGCGCACTTGAGCAGCATCTTTACAGCTGTTCAGAAGCGAAAACTACTGAAACGACAACAAAGGCGACATCTAGTGGACATGTAATGCACCTACCGACAACAAGTGGTAATTTATTTCAGAAACATTGTTGCTATTTACAAATAGCAGTACAAACAGCAAATCTGAATGATCACTGTTTTCATGTGGAAATTGCCTCCCGTGGAACATGAAATGCAAATAATGCTGTAGATTTTAACTGTTTGGCTGAATCAAAAATGTTTCCCTGCAAGTAAAAACAGAATGTGACAAGAGAAGCATGTCTGACTTCAAAAAGTAGTCCAAAAGACAATAGGACATGCATATTAAACAATCAATATAAGTACACTGTGAAAATAAATAGTGTTTGCTTTACATTTGTTTGTTGAATAAAATTTACAAAAAAAATAAATAAATAAATCTTTTAAAATAATCATAAATTAAAATTTGGTCATTTGTTTTAAGCTAAATTAACCTAAAACTGATGCACTTCCAGCTGCAACCCATCACTGGGAAACATCCATACAGTCCCATTCACACACATGCACTACAGCCAATTTAGCTAACTCAATTCACATATACCACATGTGTTTGGACTGTGGGGGAAACCGGAGCACCCTACGTGAACCCACATGCAATCTCCACACAGAAATGCCAACTGGCCCAGCTGGGGATCGAACCAGCGACCTTCTTGCAGAGGCGATTGTGCTACCCACTGTGCCACTGTGCTGACTGAATACTTTCATATGTCAGTAATATTTTTGAAATTAATAATAAAAAAAACTGAATACATATAAATGTACACACATTTACACAAGTAAATAAATAAACAGGCTAAATAGGCAAAAAAATGTACATGTAGATTCCGCATGGGCCTAGTCATGACTTATTTTTTTAATATAATTTATTTATTATTTGTTACAGTGCTATACTCAGGGGAATGCACAATTTTGGACAGCCATTGTCTACCTAAAAGCTACACTACATCTGTATGGCAGTTTTTAAAGGGATAGTTCACCCAAAGTGTATTAATTTACTCATCCTCAGGTCAACTAAGAAATAATTAACTTTTCTCTTCTGTAGAAAATTTTAGGTTAAAATCGTGGTCTTTGGTGATGAAAGTCAGCTCGAAAGTCATGCTTTAAAATGAAAGTCAATATCAGCATTTTGAGTTATATTAAAAACTATCCATACAGGCACAACGTAATAGCTGTGGCTCATGATGATATATAAAGCCTTAAGAAGCTAAGTGATTAATAAGGTGTTAGAAATGAACATTATTTACAACATTCTAACATTTTAATATGAAACTTCAACAAACACACTTTGGGAATATGTAAAAAAAACAATTCCTTACTTACGTATTATAATTTTGTTTTTGAGATAGGTTGCAGCATCCAGAATAGGTGCACGTTTCATTTTTATTGACATGGAAAGTATAATAAAAGGCTTCACAAACTAATCTGTGCTTCACAGGAGCTGAATATACAGTATCATCAAAAGCCATGAGTTTTAATTTTGTTTTTCCATATATGTATACATATTTTTTTACACACAGAAGCTGCTAACTTTTATTATATAACTCACCATTTAACTTTGAGACAAAAAGTCATCATCTTAATGGACAATTTTCATTTTTACTTGAACTATGTATTTAAGAAATCTCTTTATGAGTTCAATAAAGTTAAATTTACTTTCATTTTAAGTTCTATACCCATGTCTAAACATTATACATTGTAAAAAATACAGGGTTCCACACAATTCATTCATGTTGTCCCAACACAAATGAATTAACACTTTTACCAAATGTATGTGGATTGAACATAAAAAAATCAAGTTGTCCCAATGAAATCTCAAGAATTGTGTTGTTTTTAGCTAATTTTAAATAAGTAGTTTAAACGAGCAAAAAAAAAATTTGTTTATATATATATATATATATATATATATTTTTTTTTTTTTTTTTTTGAGTGTACTCTTAATCAACAGCAATAATAAACCCACGTACAAGAACTTGGCCTATACGTCTGGTTCAGGGTCAGACTTGTGGCGACAAACTCTCCAAGCATCAGAGCATGACTTCAAATGCTGTGGTGCCTTTCACTTTGACCTGTAGTGCATGAATCCGGTTCACAAAGACCAACCAACACCAGCAGTGACTAACCTTTGACCAAAGCTTTCATTGTGTTCATATTGATGGTGAGCTCACCCTGAGGTTATTGGGTCTGTTCAACATTTCTGATGATACAGATAAACGCAACAAAAACCACTGTAGAAAACATGTTTATTAGACAAATTATACACAGAAAGCTTTGCCACTTGTAACAGAGGCCTCAGTTTGTTCCATTTGAATAATATGCAACACATACAACAAAATAGGCCTATATTAAATACTGTACATTATAATCAGTCGAAAATGATGTAATCCTGTACAATTCTATGTATGAAATTAAAAATGTTACAGGCATAGCAGGTTTTGCATGCTTCTTTTACGGAAAAAAAACAAACCTTGCCTCCTTTTTGACAAATCGAAAACGAAATGAAGTCGAATGAGAATGCCTTACCGTCAGAGAAACCATGGAGAACTTCTTGTAATGTGATAGTGGCTAAACTGAGCTTAACAGACTCAGATATTATACTCTATATCTTCTTTAAATCCAACATAAAAATTATCTGCATGTAAAATATACACTTTAATGTCTCTTTGTTTACTCTAAATAAAAATCTTTAAACTGATACTAAATAAAATTGCTCCTATAGTCTTCCAGTAATCATATCTTAAGAAAAGTACATCTAGAATGCTTGCGTCAAAACACTGTTGCTGTTTTCTACACACAACATTTGCGAATTAGTCAGAGGATAACAAACTGAAAGCTCATTCTAAACGACTAACATTAGTAAATATTAATACAGTTTATGTTAGTGAAAAGGATTGGTTGTTTTTGTCCTCAAAATGTGTATTTTTTTTCTTTTAATTGACTCTTACCAAACCTTGATGGCCTCATTTAAACAATTAGCACTTAAAAAAAAGTTAGATAAATATTACCCCTTAACATTTATGAAATGAAATAGAAAGATATTTCAAATAACCCCTCAAAAGTCGCCACCATGTCAGCGTTTTCAGATGGCGTAGTAATAGGTTGAGGACTGACCCTTGAAAAGTAAAAAAAAAGCCCCATCTCCTAAGGCTCGTGTTAAGAATTTGTTTAAAAACTCTCACACTCTTTGATTTCCAAAATCTATGACGCACAACTGCGAGATTGTGGCATATACAATGAAGCTATTCTACAGAATGTTTTCGTTGAATCCAGAGTATGGCTACAGAAGTGAATACAAACTCTTGATGGTTTAATGGTGCAAATTAACGTAAGATGATGGCACTGAAGCAATTTCAAAACTAATCATTTAAAAAAAGGGAGAGAGAAAACTAAAACTACATACAGCTCTGAACATTTTTTCTTGTTAAAACTCTCTGACCAGACACATTCCACGCATTAAAGATTTGTTATACTTAAAGTCAGTAAGAGACATTTAGTAGCATTTGTTTCATCCCTCCCTATAGTATAATAACTTTTTAAATTTTGACTTTAAAGTTCAGTCAGATCTGTTCCACGGAGTGTTCGTATAAAGACTCAAGGTACTGTAGATCTCACTTTTAGTGAGATGGCAGAGAGCTCCTTGGGAACACAGTCTCTCGCTTGCGAGGCTTTCGAGAAAAGCAGGTTGTTTCTCTCAGTTTTAGCAGTGCCATGTTCAAAGTCTCAACTAGAGGGAGCACTGAGCAGAAGCGAAATTCAGTCGATGAGTTGACAAGATTCTTCCAAACAGAGTTATTGCAGTTCTGGGAAACACTGGAAAGAGTCTTTTTGTTTTTTCCATAAAAAGAAAGAAAACTAAATTCAAACCAAATGTTAAACATATATCATCGTTGCAATATTTCAGTCTTATTTTTTCTTTCTCACACAAAATCGAATGTGGCAAACAAAAGGCAATTTTTTTTTAGTTCACAGAGAAAATCTCCTGACAAACCACAATGACAATAACGACCAATTTATTCCATCCTCGTCCTGTTGGCGAGTTCGTTCTGGGCAAACAAGCTCCATCGCGAAGAGCGAAAGCCATGAGAAAACGACAATCGAAAAGGAACATTTGTATTTACATAGATCTCTTTTTTGTTTCCGACTTGCAGACCCAGGAATCTCTGCAATCTATATGGAAGTGCCCCTGTCCGGGTCGTTGCCATAGCTAAAGTTGGGGGCCGGGGTGGGCTGATACGGGATGCTAGACATTGTCTTGACAGGGCTGCGAAAGAAGCCGCCGTTGGGGGCTCTCTGCCGAAAGGGCCCCCCAGTCCGGTGGTCCTGCACGGCCCCGAAGGCGAAGCCAGCTGCCGCTTTGGCTGACAGGCTCCGGCTGAGAGTCTGGATCTGCTCGGGTATGAAGGTGGTGGTGGTGATGTGTGTGTTGCGGAAGTCGCTGATCTGCTCGAGGGCCTGACGGGCAGCCGGGAGGGAATCCATGTCCAGGGGCGTCAGGTCGATGGAGGAGGTGGAGAACTGTTTGTGGGGGCTCTCGTCCTCCGTGCACAAGCTGTTAACCCGGTGATGAAGGTGCTCCAGGTCGATCTCCTTATCGTCCTAAAGGAAGGGAGAACAGGAGGAGGAAAGTGGAGTGGGGGAAATAAGGAAGGAGAGAAGAACAGGAGGAGGAGCGGAGGTTGTTACAGGATCAGAGGAGAAAAGAGGTGTAAAGTGAAGAGCAGGGGTGTGTAATCGTAAGAGCAGATACAGAGCAGGATGGGTTAGTGAAGCGGGACAGCGTGAGGTGGTTAACAGGGAAATGGATGTGTGTGTGGTGTGGGAGGAAATGCAGGTAAAGGAATGGAGGGAGTTGTTGAACAAATAACATGGGAGGAAAGTTTGGATGCAGTTCGAGGTAAAGAAAAATAATTGTTGAGGGTGGGAATTGATGGAGATTTAGCAGGTCCGATGAGGTTTTAGCATTTGCGTAGTTAGCAAGACAGAAAAAGAGGGGAGAGGTACAAAAAGGGAAACATACTGAGCTATGGCAATGAAAATACATCAGTCTTAACTAGTACTGTTCTTGGACTAATAACAACATCGATGTAGTGTGACACATGGAGTTTTGGAAATACAGTCTACAAAGCCTGTCCACTTTCAATCCATCTGAAACCACGGTTCTGACAAAACTGTAGTTCAGGGATGTCCAAACTTGTTCTTGGAGGACCTTTGTCCTGCAGAAACCAAGATCTTTAGACTCACATGAGACTTGCAGATGCTGGTTGATTCTAAATTCTGCAGGGCATCTGCCCTCCATGAGCAAGATTGGACATTCCTGCACAATTTAATCTAGTAGACTAGGAGTACTCTATTCTGGTCCTTGAGGTCCACTGTCCTGCAGAGTTTAGCTCTTACTAAAGACACCTGAAAAAGCTGACCAAGGTCTTCACACTTACTACAAACATCTACAAACAACAAACATTGACACTCTTACTACAATCATCTACTACAAACAGGCTCTAATTGGATCTAAAGCCTGCAAGAAACCTGTTTTCCAGGAGCAGCACTAGACTCTACATGAAAGTGGACCTCAGGGGCCAGAGTTGAGAGCACCTGCACTACTACACCCTCAGAACAAAATATGCAAGAAAAGTGACTTTAGTGGTAAAACAGCTTATTACTGGGACAGTACCCTTAAAGCAGGGGTGTTGAATCCTGCTCCAGGAGTGTCACTGTGCTTCATATTTTAGCTCCTACCCTATTTAAGCACACCCGAACATGGCTAATCAAGTTCTTACTAGGCAAACTCAAAACTTTCAGTAAGGTGCGTTGAGGTTGAACAGTGCCCCTCCAGGACTGGTATGAACACCCCTGCCTTAAGTGGACATCTTTGGTTTCCTACAGGTAAATATTTTGCACATTTTGTCAGAAAGTGTATAAGTGTAAAACTAAAAAAGATAGATTGTTCAAAACAAACAAACAAACAAACAAACACAAAAATAAACAAACTCACGAGGTGAGGTGGGCTGACATTGTTGCCGTGATAAAAAAGCCTCTGTTTTGGACCAGCTTAAAGCACTTTGTTGATTCCAGCCACCAGTGGCAGGCAGCGTGGCCCTGAGTAAAAAGGGGCAATGGGGAACCTGGTTGGGTTGGTGGGGACAGGAGATCAAGGAGCAGTTCATAGGTACCCGTCCTACCACCACATTGGTGGAAGGTGGTGTTAAAAAGGACATAGGAGTGAAGGAAACGGGATTGTGGGAAGGCTGTTCTTTGATTTGTGTTGTTGAGCTAACCAGGGATCTTGTGTTTTCCAAAATGCGCTGATGTGCTTTGAATAATAAATTTTTATTATTATTATTATTATTTTTTATGAGACAAGGTGTGATTCATGTATATGGATAAAGCGCTACTTTCAAATCTTTAAACCAGTGGTTCTCAGTCTTGCAAGTTTTCAATTGTTCATGCAAGTTATAAAGGAGCTACAACATCTCTGTGTTATCAAGTACCTGAAAGATTAAAAACATACACTGTAAAAAAATCTGTTATTTATTTTATATTTTTCCAGCAGCTGGGGTGCTGAAAAAAAAAACATAAAAAAGGCCTATAATTACAGAAATTTACTGTAAAATAACAGACGTTAAATGAAGGAAATTTACCGGAAATTTAAATGTAAGGAAATTTATGTAATTTAATGTCTGTTATTTTACAGAATTAAAAAAAAATACAAACTTTTTTTTTTCACAGTGCATGCACGTCAACTTTGTCTTTTGATGTTTGTGCAAAATGCAAAAATGCAGACCTACAACTTGAAGATCTACTGTACAGGCACATAATTTAGGTCTCTTATTCTGACTTCACTAAAGCCTGACTAGTACAATTTCAGTCAGACAAAAATAAACTGCATTTAAATACAGTGAACATTTAAAGGGCCTCTATTTGAAACAATAATTTTGTACCTCCTTTGAAATAAAGATACCATTTTCTTTTTATTATATGAAGCTAGTTTACAGGACAAATTATATTATATTATGAAAATATTATTTAAAATGTGAAAATTATTTACTATTATTTAATTTGTTGCAGAATACAACACATATTTTAGGTACTGTGTATATATACACACACACGCAAAGTAAAATATCTAACATTTTACCTATGGTGTTGTATGCTCCATTAGAAGTCTGCTGAGGCCCTCTAGTGGGTAGCTGATTATTAATAATATATTTCATTTACACATTTTATGTTATGATTCGGCACAATATTTTATCAGTTTTAATGGAGAGAAATGAGAATGATGGTCGCGTTACAATTAGTTTTATATTTATCCATCAAAACATTCTCGTCCAGGCCCTTAGATTGAAAACCACTGATTTAAACAACCTTCTACCTGCTAAAATTAGTTTATTATTTTACTAATTAAGACTTTTCTAGTTCCAGGCCTCCTGATTAATACCTACTCTAAGCAACATTCTACAGTTAAATGGCTGCACAGGGAACAAACAGTAAATTAGGCACTTTAGTCTGGCTGTGCAGCACCAATATAAATATTGAAGTTTTGCGAACGCCAGCTTGCAGGGCAAACGTCTTGAGTATGGGCTGCTCCCTTCCAAAGCTGCAGCTCAAATTAACTGCCTGTCAGGTTTGCAGAATCCCCTTTCTGCATTCTCTCAGCCAAATTTGTCTAGTCTCCATGCGGCCTGGCACTAAGAGATAGATCTCAGTGGGCTAGAAAAAAAAGACTGGTATCAAAAAGCGCCCACATTATTGCATTTCCAAGCAAAGATTTCAGCGTAAATCTCAAGGTTTTTGGAAATGAATGGTAACGACCTTCCTCGTAACTCCCCGGGTGGATTCTCTTTCAGCAGTAAATGCTTGATTGCGTAAGCTCGTACAAAAACATATCGTAGCGCATTCGCCGCCGGGGGCCGATTTCATAACCTACGTGGGCTCGAGGCTTGGAGAAGTGTGGAAAGAGTGTAGCTCAGTGCTGGCAGAAGACAGTTCGCTGCGGGATAGGGAACGTGTGTCTCAGCTTGGAGTCGAGGGGTGTGGCGCAGCATGCAGGTGACAGGTGATTGGAGGACGGCCTGAGTGTGAGCATGATGTCAGTCTGCGGCTCATGACATGGCTCGTCTTGCCTCACAGACGGTCCGTCTGCTTGTGTCTGTGTGTGTTGTGAGCGAGTTTGTGGAAATACAAAAGGATGACCCAACACATGAGGCAGGCATATGACAGGATGGGGAAGAGATTGTTTTCAAGAGAGGTGGGGGAATGAGTAGAAAAAGACAACAAACAAACAGTCAGCACACACAGACGTTGTTGTTTTTCTTTTTTTTTCTTTTTTTTTCTTTTCTTTTATGTCCAAGGAGCCAGATACCTGGAAGTGTGAGATGATAAAAATGGCATTTTGCATTTCTCTCCCACGCCCGCTTTAACCCCTCAACACAGAGTACTTATCTATAAAACAAAATCGACAAAATAAAAGTTGTTTCAGGCTTTAACAGCAGAGTAACATGATTTTTTGTTGTTGGTGTTTTCTGAAAAACATACAAACATTTTCAGAGTAATGACTGACACGCTGTTTGGCGTTCGGCGGCCTTTATTAATTATGCTGAGGTCTGACTGTCAAATGTTCAGTAGCCACTGTGAACATCATATAAATGCATTTTTTTTGTTGAGAATTAAAGATATGTCTATTTTTTTTTCTTTGTAGACTGGAAAACAGTCATCTATCTGAATGCAGATCTCATACTGTGGCCGCAGGACTCCAGACAGCAACAATATATCAATGACACAGCAGACATCTGAAGTGAAAAACGTTTCATCATTTGCTTTTTTCAGGAATGATTAAGACACAAAGCTTAGCAAGTGAAATGGCTTTCTGCACAGCAAAACCCCTCGGGTTCTCTGAACCGCCTGCACGTATGCTCTGGATTGGCAAGTGGTGCGCTATGAAAGTATTTAGGTTTTGTAAGGTTATAGGGTTTGAAAGTATAGGTTTTGTAATTCAAAATGAGGTGGAAGTTGTTTTGATGACTTGTCATATCCAATCATTTTGAGGCACCACTGAAGGAGCATAACGATCAGAGAAACAGAGGAAACAGGGACAAACTAACACCATGGCATATGCAATGTGTGTGTGTGTGTGTGTGTGTGTGTGTGTTTCAGACACAGAGACACAAGCACAAAGTCAGTCTATAGTTCTGATTCACAGTTCACTCCTGTTAGGCAGGTGTCAAGAAATATCACAAGGAAAAGAGGAAGCAGTCAGGGAGAATTAAAGACAGACACTCGGACACACCAAAGAGAAAGTTTCATCATGCTGAAAGATGGAGGAATGGTTAGGATGTACGTGCCAAAATGACTTTAAGTACAATGATGACATTAACAAAATCTGCAAAAAATCATCTTAATCAGAATTTTAGCCTTGTTTGAGAATTAAATAAAACAAACATCATTAACTTCTAATTTAAAAATAATATTATAAATAAATATATATATATAATTATGTCATTTTGTTAAAAACTGCCAAGATTCATATTGTTTTACTGTATTCTTAGCTAATAATATAGAATTATATGACATGAATTTAATTCATATAGAATTTAATGACA